CTTCGTCGCTAGCGAGTCTTCCGTCGATTCGAAAACGTTCTCCAATGACTCTATCGTCGGTACGATTTTGGCACGTGGGGTGGAAGTTATCGGTTCGCGCGATCGATCACTGGATTTATGCAGAGTTGCGGAAGGTTCGAACGTCTCGCTCGCTTCTTCTCCCCTCTTTTGTTCCTCCTCCTCCTTCCTCTCACGTTAAGGGACAGACGCTGCATCTTCGTCGTGCGACTCTCTTTGTCGCTCGCTCGCCGGGGTTGTCGGCGAAAGGTCGCAACGGCTCGATAAGAGGTTTAAAATGTCTATTCAACGCGATGCTCTCCTCGATTCTACCGGTCTTCAGAGCGCGATGTTTCTTGCGGATCGACTCGCTCGTCTTCTCGATCTCCGTAACGATTTTTTCGCGCTTGCGCACATCTGCCATATTTGTCTCTGGTTAAGTATCGATGACGACTGGTTACGTTACGGTATCGCGAACTCGTTAAATCCTTTTCTGTATCGTCCATTTGTGAGCGCACTGTCTTTATCTATCACTACGAAACCATATTTTTGTTGCCAACAGTCGCGGCACAACGCGTAAAATTCGTCATATGACATGTCGGTATTCACATGATCGTTGTAAACATGTTTCAAGTTGGTACCATCCTGTTTGAACAGGATCAGCAGGTTCGCGTTGTCGCGTATCAGATGTTTAGGTATCCTCGCATACGTCTGACAGAGATAGAAGCAGTCGACATTCGCGTGACGGCCCATCGAAAAGTAATCTCTCACCGCATCCTGCTTGTCGCATGCCACGTCATCAAAGATAAAAATAGAATTTGGACGCGCCTCGCTCGGTGCAACGACGTCGCTGTTGTTGGAGAACGTAAAGTAGTCGATTTCGTCGATAGATTTAAACAAATTTTCGAGATATTGATACTTTGGCTGTCGCAACGATTTCGAGTAGACGTACACGTTCTCGAAACGTACGCCGTTCGGACTCTCAAGTAAGCTTATGAGAACGTTGGTTTTACCGCAATTCGACGGGCCGCAAATGATCGCGCGTATAGTATCCGGCAGCATTTCGCCGTGCTTGCGCTTCTCCACGCCGCTTCCTATTCGCGATTTCGCGTCGCAGTTCGTGACGCGTATCGCCAGCGGTTGCAATACGAATTTCATGCTCGCACTACGGGCTGTGCGCTCTCGACCACCTATTTAAAGGCGCGCGAATTCGCGAGTCGCGCAGTAATAAAATGTATCTCGCGCTACATCATCCTTCAGACATTCTGGATTTGAGCACCGAGCAGTTGCAGTATATACCGAAGGTCGTACTGTTACGAGTGTACGGTGACTACATCGACTCCGTGTGGAACAAGCTTCCGGGACACTTAAAGGTGGATTCGGAGGTTCGAACGTATCGTCGCTGCGACGAGCACTAC